ATTGTAGGAAAGTCACTGGCAACTTTGTTGAAAGATGATGTGAGAGCACCGCAAACTTTTAATCTGACCATAAAGTGGAACTGTGTGTCAGAGCACATGATAAATGGCAGTAAGCTGTTACAGCGGTCAGCCTTTACATCAGGTTTGTATCTAATTTGAGCAAAGATGAGTTTGTTTCAGAGACAAGAATGAAACAAGATACACAAATCAGTTATAGCTAATGAATAAATTTAGAAAAAGTAAAGAACCAGAAGTACTTTAGTTGTAGAAGTTGTTTACTATAAAGTAATGTGAATGTACTAGTAAAATACAACATACATTTACTTTGTTACAGTACTTAAGTAATTTTTGGAGGATCTGTAATTTTACTAAGTATTTTTTAAATCATAAATTTTACTTTTATGTTGTCATTCAATACACAAAAAATATACTTTTGCTTTTTTACTTTAAAATGTAACACCTCATACCACGAGTTTAAACATGACTAAAACTCATCATGAAGGCAGTGTAGAAGTACTTTTACTTTCTCACTTGTGAGCAGCTTTATGACTTTTACTTATAAGTGAAATTTGTTTTTACCAAAGTAATTTTCTATTTAGGTATTTCTACTTTTATTTAGTATTTTAAACTACTTTATACACCTCTGGTAAAATGTACAGTTATACAAATAGTGTACCAAATGTGTATTACCGCCTGTTTGTCTAATTTATTGTATGTTTGTTGTGATGACGTAGAATGTTTTCATCACTCTGGTATCCAGACAGAAGGGTTTTTGCACAACTAGATGTATTCTTGCAGATAAATTTATAAAATCACCATTTTAGCATTTTAATTAGATTCATCCCAAGATCAATGGTTTGGTTATTTTTCAACTGTTTCTTTAAAAAAATGCTGATTTTGATTGTCTTGCACTTTATTTAAACGTCCTTTTCCAACTAAAAATAATACATTTCTAAAAGCCAGCTGAGATTTTTCACAGAAAGTTTCTCTTTTTTTTATTTTCAAACCCTTAAATGTGTTTCTTCTGCCCACAGCCGGAGACGTGGGAGAGAAAAGAAGAAGTGCACGAGCTCACGCTGCACCAGATTGTTCCAGAGCAGAAGTCCATTTCAGAAGAAAGCTCCTTTAGAAAGGAATGGGATGACAGGACCGACGAGCACCTGGAGGCCGAGGCGAGTGACTCAGCTGGATCCGATGACGAGTGTTTGAGTGTGGACTCAGCAGATCGGACGCTGAGGAAAACACAGARGGCAGAACAGGAACAGGTGGACAGTGAACTCGCCGAGCTGATCTACAAGAACGGCTTGGTGTTCGATATGAAGTCAGAATCTCTGAACCAGTCTGAATGTTGAACTGTGAACACGCTGACTCTGGTGTTGCATAGAAACCCCGTGTTTACCATCTATCATTAACCTCCCAGTTAGTAACTGGGAGCCAGTACTGTACATGAAAGCAGGAGGTTTAATTCCTGTTTTTTATTTGCACATTTTTTTAAATAAATATTTGTCCAAAATGTTTTAAAGTACATCATTCCAGACTGAATTGTTGGAAAATATCACTATTTATTAAAAGCACAAGGACATATTTTAGATTAATTTCCATTTAAACAAATCATCCCTGAGTTTTGTTGTATTGCATTGGCTATGTAAAGAACTGTGGTCTAAAAATGATTCATCTCATAAGACTGTTAGTTTCTTTTCTGCACAAACTCAATGTGTGCAAATATAAGCCTGGCCTTTTATTGGTCAGTGTGAAATGACACACGAGAGCAAAATTTAAAGCCTGAGAAATTCACGTATGCACCTGGTGAGAGCTGCATGACAGGAAGTGGTCAAAAAAATTGACCTTAAAAAAGGTTGCTCCTGCATGGTGAAAACCCAGATTACTCATTGTCAAAGACACTCTGTGCAGCTTTTGATCTGTGGTGTTCAGAGCAAAGCACGTCCTGCTTGTTTGTAAGAAATGCTGACATAGTTTTCCACTGCTGTTTAAATTCTCAGTAAATTCAATGAAAAACTTTTGTCGTTTCCTTTTTGTTCGGTCTCTGAGCCACATTGTGTCATATTGCGAATACAGTGTTTATCTGTCACCGCATTAAGACAAAAAATCTCTCAGTCTTGACCACATAGTAGGCAGATGCATCTGATAAACAGTGTGTGGTAAAATTCATCTGCATTTGTAAAAGCACTGAGGTTTACTACTGTTTTACACATTTAAATAAGAATCAACACCAGCATTTAATAACAAAATATAATTAAAGTTGCTCTTTTGTTTTCAAATTTTCAGACATTCTTTTGTCCTTCGTATAATGCAGTTGTCTCTTCTGCATTAAATTATATTTATATGCTCTGTTTATTTAAAGTAGTTCTGCTTTGTCTAGTAAGAGTTAAACTAATTTAGATTAGTCTCATACAGTTCCCAGAGTCAACCCTGTTTATCTGTTATCGAAATATTTCATGAAACACTGGATGTATTTTATGAAACACAGCTCAATTGAGTTTTCAAAACTTGAGTTAAAATTTGATGTAAGAGTCATTCTCATCATATCTTTTCATTGGACATCTTGTGGAAATGCATAAAAATGTGCATGATGTTATTTTCATAACAGTTTCAGGTTTGTCTGAATAGAAATTATCTTTGTTCAAAACTGTGGCGGGACAATGCAGAGGTTAAACTTCGACATGTAATTATATACCAAATTGGTTTGCCATAAACTCATCTCATCAATGAGACTCTGGCTCCACCCAGCGGTCGGACAGCAGTAGTGCAGCGGATGGATACATAGTAGGACGGCACAGGCTTGCAGCGAAGAGGTCATCGCCGTGTTCACCTACAGACAAGCTGTTTACTGTTCGTTCAGGACCCAAAGGCTGTTTTTACACTTTTAAACCTCTCGTGAACCGTCCAGTCATGCCGATGATTCCCTACTAACATCCCCGAAAATGCCCTATGAGTGTTTCTCGGTGCTAGAAGATGGCGGAGTCGGATGGTGGCGATTTTGCTCCGAAACATTTGCAGAGCAGGTGGGTGTGACGGGGCTGAACACTTGCTTCTTACCGGTGTTCCGGTGTTGCCGTCTCCGGCAGCATCCTCTGCTCCTGAACCAAACCGAGCAGGTGGCTCGAGGCGCTGCTCTTGAATGCAGGAAATACCGAGGCTTTGTTTGTTTTAGGCCTCCGGGCACCGGGTCTGAGCCAGCCTTCATTGTTGAACAAATATTCTGCAGCATTCCATTAGGCGGTTCAGGATCAACATTATGGTTAGAAGAAAAAAAAAGTTTACAACATGCAAAGTAAAGTTAATCGGCATCAGTTCCGCAAAATGAATGAATAAGTAGTCAAAAGTTTTTTTGTTTCTTGTAAATGCGAGAAAACTTTAACTGGTTAGTATTACTAAGTAAATACAAGTAGACACACGCAAGTGTGTGTTTGTGTGTATTGTATTACCATTTCTTCTTCCTTTTTTAATTTGTTTGTAAACTGGAAGTTAGGTATCACGTCTTGTAATATTATTTACTTCCAAAATTACTTTTTAACTTACCTGTTTATGGTGTGTTTGTTCTGTCAGATTTTGCATTATTAATGCAACTATACTTTCAAACCCTCTGACCTTCTGTCTTGCAGATGTATTTCCATTTTATGTGCAGCAGTAAAGTGCAAAGTACTTCTGCCTGTTCCATGCATGGACTCATCCTCACTAATGCAAAGTCTCTGCACACTAATTGCATTTCCAACTGGCTGAGTAATACATCACATTACATGCCCATTTGCCGGTCATCAGATACACTTTATCCACAAGGCGGCTCATATACAACACATTTATACCAGATACCACCTTCTAATTGCAGCAGTAATTACAGTGGATGCTGTGGAAATGAAGGAGAATATATGTGATTTTTTTTTTTAAATGTCAATTATGACACCTTTTTTCCTCTTTCTAGTATGGCTAACAAGAACAGCACCCTGCGCTGCACTTTCTCCGCTCCGAGCCACAGTGCCACCCTCCTCCAGGGCTTGTCGGTTTTGCGAGCTCAAGGTCAGCTGCTGGACGTGGTGCTGGCTGTCAACGAGGAGCACTTCCAGGTCCATAGAGCAGTGCTGGCTGCCTGTAGTGATTACTTCAGGTGAGCCTTTATCATTAGACCTGAAGATTTCCATTTTGTATTTTCAACTGGAAACACTTAAGCTTGTGCTCTTCGCCGGAGTAACTGAGTGAAATCAATAACACATTTAAAAAAGTATTGTATGTTTTCAGTGCGTCGTGAAACAAGTTTAAGTTTATGCTGCTAGGTATGTTTTTTTTTTAAATTAAATCTACACATAGAAAATCGGTACTGAATTTAGATTTACATAAGATTTACAAATGAAAATTTAAAAGAGCACTGAGTACATTTTAAAATAGTAATTTATTAAACAAAACAAAATAGTGACAAAAAATTCAGCACAGTATGCTTGCTCCAAACGTTTCGACTCGACCATGAAACTGAACTTATGTACAGTAATATTTGGGTTCATGTAGGCCCGTCAAGATAAAGAATTCTGCTGGACAATAAATTGTCCCCCGCGCTAATTAGGGCTGGGTATCGATTCAGATTCCCCAAATCGATTCGATTCACAATTRAGTTTGATTGATTTTTAAATTAGTTAAGGATACCATGCAGCTGCACATTTATTTTGATATAGAAGACATTCGCATAGGAACTAATTCTGCAAATAGTAGAAACTAATTCTAACTTGGTGCGTTGGTAAAATTATAAACATTAAGGACAAACTTGTAAATTGGAGTTTAATCTTGAWACAAAACTCTCACGTTTCAAAGGGTTTAAACTAAAAAAGAATTGCAAGAGAAAGTGTTGTTGATACATTAGTTTTTAAAGAAACTAAGAATAATTTTCTTGATCACTAAGAAGTGATGGAATAAGGTTACAGGAGAAGAGGTGGGATAATATAAGTGTGTAGTTCTGCCCACTCTTTTGAGAGAATGAAAACTGTATATTTGTAATGTTTCTGTTCAATAAAACTTATTAAAAAGAAGAAAGAAATAAAAAAAGGTACTTCAGCTACAACATTCCATCACTGTGAATTACATTAAGATGTTTCTTAAAGTTAAAAATAATATTGGTTAAAAAAACAAACAAAAAAACAAAAAGAAAAAAATTGTATAGGTCTTCTGGACGGGTTCTTCTCTAATGAAACGTTTCGTCTCTCCTCCAAGAGACTTCTTCAGTCTGAGAGTTTCAGGCAAAATTCAGGCTTTTAAGCACTGCCTCCATGTGACTGATACTCACATCACATGGCTATCGTTGACACCTAATTAACACCTATTGTTAACAGGGGGTGGAGTGATACTGGCAATAGCAGCACTGTAGGAGGGGGACAACTGAAAACAGAGGCCTCCACCTCTGTTTAATGATGGACGGCCTTTCTTCACAAAAATGGCTTCTTTTACTCCTCTCTCAAACCAACGTTCCTCTCTATCAAGAATGAGAACATCCTCATCTCTGAAAGAGTGACSGCTGGCCTGTAAATGAGTGAAAACTGCAGAGTTCTGGCCATTAGATGTAGCTCGTCTGTGTTGGGACATTCTTTTGAACAGTGGCTGCTTTGTTTCCCCGATGTATAACTGGTCYCAGTCCTCCTGGCACTTAACAGCATATACAACATTGCTCTGTTTGTGCCGGGGCACCGGATCTTTGGGGTGAACCAGCCTTTGCCGTAATGTGTTTGGGGTTTGAAAGCRACTGGGACATCATGTTTAGAAAATAAACATCTCAGTTTCTCCGAAACACCCGCAACATACGGAATAACCACTGGTTTGGGTCTGGGTTTGGGGTCTTCATTTTCACCTGAAGGTTGCATGGAATCCTGTCTGTGTTTCCTGTCTGCTTTCAYGAAAGCCCAGTCAGGATAACCACACTGCTCCAGGGCCTGTCGTGTMTGTGATTTCTCTTTCTGCCTGGCTCCTGGGTTTGTAGGGACACTGTCTGCTCTGTGGTACAGAGTCCTGATCACTCCTAACTTGTGTTCCAGRGGGTGYTGGGAGTCAAAACGCGGAGAGACGAAACGTTTCATTAGAGAAGAACCCGTCCAGAAGACCTATACAATTTTTTTCTTTTTAATTTTTTACCTGGATTACTGAGATGCATCAGGACAAACAAAAAAACTATTTTGTTAGACTGTCATCTTTCACACATTTATACAGGAGGAGAACAGTTTTCCACTCAGATCTTTACATGCCGTAGTTTGGTTTGAGCACCTGAACGAGTCGCTCGAAGCTTCGTTTCCGAGRGCAAATCTTTGCAAACAAAAGTTGTCATGGCCTCTTTGTCTTTCAGTTCTGCTGAGAATCAGCTGATGCCCCGGACAACTTGTTGTCTGGAGCTGACATTAGCGCRGACCGTCAACTGGCTGTAAATCTACGGCAAGCCAGGAGTGACACACAACATGGAAACGCGCAGCCTCATCACACACAAAACACCCATGGGGAAAAAATCGATCTCATGACTTATGAATCGATCTTCCCAAATTGTAACAAAAATCGATCCAGATCGATTAAATCGATTTTTTTAACCCTGCCCTAGCGCTAATGAATCTTATCGAAGTAAACGAAATTTATGTACATTAAAATAAAGTTACGAAGATTGTGAAAACAACACACAACAGCTGTTAAAGCTGTAGCATCGCTACCCACCTCTATCCAAATCAGCTCAATTTATTCTTTATGCGTCTTCCTCTGGCATCACTAAATAATTGTAGTCACCAGCACGCTGCTTACAAAGTTTACGAAATTTATGTAGTGTAAAAAAAAACAACTCTCTAAATGTCCGTTCATAAGACTCTTGCTACAGAGGTTATAAGACCATTCACCTGGCAAACACCTGACGCCAGAGTTCACTCCTCCCTACACTGAGTAGATAAGAGGGAGACATGAAGAAAACAAGCTCTATTAGTTTTTTAATATATTGTTGGTTTTATTGCTTACCGTGACAGAAGTTGTACACTAAKAGTCTTCTTCCACCCTGTTGTTTCAGAGCTATGTTTACAGGAGGTATGAGGGAGTCAAACCAAGATACCATCGAGCTGAAGGGTCTGTCGGCCCGTGGACTGAAACACATCATCGACTTTGCTTACAGCGCAGAAGTCACSTTGGACCTGGACTGCATCCAGGACGTCCTCGGAGCTGCCGTGTTTCTGCAGATGGTCCCTGTGGTGGAGCTCTGCGAGGAGTTCCTCAAGTCGGCGATGAGCGTGGAGACCTGCCTGCACATCGGGCAGATGGCCACCACGTTCAGCCTGTCGTCCCTCAAAGAGTCAGTGGACGCCTTCACCTTCCGCCACTTCCTCCAGATCGCGGAGGAGGAGGACTTCCTGCACGTTCCCATGGAGCGCCTCGTCTTCTTCCTGCAGAGCAACGAGCTGAAGAACTGCACCGAGATCGACCTCTTCCACGCRGCGGTCCGGTGGCTTCGCTGCGACGAGTCCCGCCGGGCTCAGGCTAGCAGCGTCCTCTGCCACGTGCGCTTTCCGCTCATGCGCTCCTCCGAGTTGGTGGACAGCGTCCAGACGGTGGACATCATGGTGGAGGACGTGCTGTGTCGGCAGTATCTCCTCGAGGCCTTCAACTACCAGATCCTTCCTTTCCGACAGCACGAGATGCAGTCCCCGCGGACGCTCATTCGCTCCGACGTCGTTTCCCTCATCACCTTCGGCGGCACGCCGTACACCGACCACGACCGCACCGTGAGCGCCAAGGTGTACCACCTCCCCGACGCCGCGTCCCGCCAGTTCAAGGAGCTGACCGAGATGGAGGCGGGCTGCAGCCACGCCTGCGTCGCCGCGCTCGACAACTTCGTGTACGTRGTGGGGGGGCAGCATTCGCAGTACCGCAGCGGGGAGGGGGCGGTGGACAGCTGCTTCCGCTACGACCCGCACCTGAACCGGTGGCTGCGCATCCAGCCCATGCAGGAGGCCCGCATCCAGTTCCAGCTCGACGTGCTGCAGGGRCAACTGTACGCCACAGGAGGGCGCAACCGATCGGGCAGCCTGTCGTCCGTGGAGTGCTACTGTCCAAAAAAGAACGAGTGGTTCTACGTCGAGTCGTTGAAACGCAGGATCTGGGGTCACGCCGGCGCTTCCTGTGGAGAGAGGCTGTACATTTCGGGAGGTTACGGCGTCTCGCTCGATGACAAGAAAACGCTTCACTGCTACGACCCGTCGTCGGACCAGTGGGACTTTAAGGCCCCCATGAACGAACCCAGAGTGCTGCACTCCATGATCTGCGCCCAGCGTCGTGTCTACGCAATGGGCGGGCGCATGGACCACGTGGACCGCTGTTTCGACGTGCTGGCGGTCGAGTATTACATTCCAGAAAACGACCAGTGGACTACTATCAGTCCTATGAGAGCAGGGCAGTCCGAGGCGGGCTGCTGCTCACTGGACAAAAAGATTTATGTCATCGGGGGCTACAACTGGCACCTGAACAATGTCACAAGCATTGTCCAGGTGTACAACACCGAGACAGATGAGTGGGAAAGAGATTTGCACTTTCCAGAATCATTCGCCGGCATTGCTTGCACACCGATCATACTTCCACAAAACACTACACAACGGTAAGCGTCTGACCTGCAGCTGTTAAGTTTTTATGATTACAATGATTATGAGTATAAATGTAGGCACGTTTATGTGTTTACGTCGAGGAAGGAGTCAAAGTGATACTAAGCTTCACTCAAGAGTTGTGTTGATTTCTAGCTTCATTTTGGAAAGCTTATGTGCACATAACTTGAGTTTTTATTCTATAAAACTCAGATATTACTGAGTAACTTAGTAGATGGTTAGATTTAATTGGAAAAGGTGTTTTTTCGGACTAATTTAAATTTCGAACTTATTGCGATTCATCTATTATTGCAAAATTTGTAATATGGATCATTTAACTGCGTAGTTTATAACACTTTATATTATGAAAATATAAAGTTTGTAAGTGGTTTTATTTATTAATCAAGGGCTTTTAAGTTACAGATAGCACAAATCTTATCATTTATTCCTCAGACTCTTAAAGCGTTTCAAATGATGAATACCTTGATTGCACAGTTGTCTTTTAATCTCATTTCAATTTTATAATTTACACAGTCTAGATAACTTTGTTTTACTGTGGATTCTTCCTCAGATTTATTAATCAAAAACCACATATCAACACTTGAAACTGCACAATAAACAAGTATTGGATGTCTTACTGTTTTAAATTGAACATTTTGGTGTTGGAGTTTTTATTAGTCCAACAATGTTTGTGTTTCCTGAGTTGAAAACTTGATTTTTTTTTTTTGTATTATTTTTAATTCAACAACCAGTGTGGACCTCTTATGGCAGCTACATAAAAAAAATATGTCCATGTTTTTCATGGAAAGCAAGCTTTGTTTTGTGGGCTGGAACAAACCAAAATTTAACATGACTGAACATAATTTTAAAATATTACTTTTAATTTTAATTCCTACAAATCCTTAGGTTATTTTCCCCTTATTGTTTATATTTTTTTATCTTTTTCCAGTTTTTTCTTTTTTCAGTGCATTGTTTTTCAGACCATTATTATTTATAGTAGTGTGTTTATCCYATGCACATATCTTGTTTTTATTTATTGTGACCAACATGATTGTGAAAAGTTTCCTCTTACAAAATGTCTGTGTCRGCCTTTGTGTGTGTCTTGTTCTACCTGTACCAGTGAAAGCACAACATATTGTTAAAGTGCAATACAACATTCTGTTGTACTCAGTGGGGAATGTATACTTTCGTGTAGCTTTATTCTTCATTAAAGGTGTGTTATGCTTTAAAATGAAGCCTAATGGAGTGTGTTTCATGTCTGTGTTTTAGTGGAAATGTATACTGTGAGACTACAGCACCATGTGGGATTAACAACAATTTAATACTCAGGTTACAGACATGACTGTTSCCCACAGCTGCTTCTTGAAATCTTCAGTGGTTTTCCTTTTAACAAGAAAATGTTGTAAACCTGCACTTTGTACAAATCTTTTTCTGTTCAGCTTGTAATTGATAAAATGGGGACTGAAACAAGTATTGTAACAGTTTAGTTTGGACRCTTTCTTCGAATTAAGTGAGTGATTTAGGCAAATTATCACAACTGGAAKAACCGTGGTTTCATATTTAAACAGACCCATTTGAAAGCAAAAACAAGTCATTTCTAATTTTCAAAATCCTAAAATGGCTTTTTATCAGCAAATTGTATATTTTATTTTATTATTTCTTTTTGTACAAAGCATTTTCACCTATGACAACAGATGTAGCATACATTAGGTTTCTAGTTAAAAGCTAATTTACAGAATTTAATTATAAATTTGAGTAGGATTATGACATATTTAAGGTTGTGTTTTAGATAAGGAGTGACTTTCTTGCTTGGTGTCAGAATTTGCAGCAGCAGTTTCAGAAAAGGTAGTGGTCATTTCATGTTATTTCAAGTAAAAAAAATTACAAGGCAGATAAAAAAGTTGCAAAGCTGTATTCAGTTTATTGGGTCACTTTCCACCTGGACACTTTTTTTTCCCTCTAGCTGTTGATTTTATTCCTCAAGATGTGAACACCCGTTTTTATTTATTTCTTTATGTTACTATTTATAACGGGCATCTGGGGCACACGATTCCCCCTGTGGTGATTCTTTTTTTATCTGAAGCTCACCCTGCCTCAAACTCTGGCAACAGCGAGAGCAGAGAGCGGCAACATCAATAGGCACGTTGAATGGACGTCATGACGACAACAGGAGGCCCTCGCGCCGTGCGTAGCGTAACATTCCATTGAGAAGAAGAGGGAAAGATGGCGTCCTCTAATAATCCTCGCAAATTTAGCGAAAAAATCGCTTTGCATAATCAGAAACAGGCGGAAGAGACAGCCGCCTTCGAAGAAGTGATGAAGGACCTGAACATCACCAGAGCCGCGCGGGTAAGCGCCTCTCACAGCCCGGCTGTTTACATTCGGTGGCGCTGCTGTGTGGCAGTAAACCAACACTGCGGAGATACTGAAACGATAGGTTGATGAATTGTTAAAAGTTCACATTATCGCCTTCTACTGTAACAGCGCAGCATCGTTATAATTTCATTTCTGAATGCGCACGTTGGTGTTTATTTGTATTTATTTATACATTTTCGAATACGAGTGCAGCGTTATTTAGCTTTTTATTTATTTATTTCGTTTATTTTTTGGCTAGCTCGCTGTGAATAATGTGCACCTGTTCCCTCTCTCTGCTGTTCTGGTCCGTGCTGCCGCTGCTCGCCTTTTAGTTTGTTTACGAGGCGCAACGAATCAGCGCATAATAAGACATTAGAGCAGTCGGCCAGTAGAAAGCGAACGTTGACAGAGATCTCTGGCAGGGCTAAGGCAGCTTCGTTAGCCAATCAAACGTTAACCAGCTTCACGAGCCGTGGATTCCCTCCGCCCCCGGTGTTGTGCCGAGAAAAGCACCCCCGTCACAGTAGGCGCATTTCAAGGCAGCCGTGTCCCCATATACCGTAAGTTTAGGGCAGATGTGAGAAATTGACTCTTTTTTCCCTCTATTCCAATCAACTCTGTTTATTATTATTATTATTATTATTATTATTATTATTATTATTTTACAATAATTTTATTCCGAGAAAAAGTGGGCTATATACAGGGTAAACGATGGTGCTAATTTATCAATCATTGCAATATCAAAGAATTGCAGTAAATCATACAGCAATTTAAACTTAGCATAAAAAGTAAGGACATTTGTGGAGATTATTTATTTGTTGTAACGATGCTTCTTGGCAGTAAATCTGATCTTAATGGAAATCCTGTTAAATTCCCTTTTAAATGATGCCACATTTGTAGGGAACATATATTTGTGGGATGAGAAGTAAAGGCTGAGTATGTTAGTTATGAACATGAAAAACTTGCCAAATCTTCTCTGCCATTCAAACATCTTATTTTGTTGTTACTGTTGACACTTGTTCCCATTCAGGCGCGTACAAGATTTATTGCCAAGAACCAGTTACAACCAAGAAAGAATCTACCAAACACAAATTTCCTCACTTTATCACGCATTTTGTTCTGTGTGCTTTTAAGTGACCTATGCTGGCAAAATGAACCACAATGATGAATTTTTGTCAAAAAACTTAAAATGATACCTAGTTTGTTGAAATTTGGCAGTTTATCACCCCCTAGTTATCACAAGCTAGTTTTGTTTACAAGAATACCTGTTTAAAATGTTGAGTTTTATTAGTCTAGTTTTTTTTTTTTAGATTTGTTTTTAACCAACAACTTTCATGTGGGATTTAAATGATTAGTCTGTTGAGTAGGGTTGGGCATAATCGTATCATGTGCAATTAATCGACAGAAAAATATTAATCTATTTTTTGGCACTTCACGATTAATACGATTAATGCCACCAGGCGGACTGACCACTCGGTGCTCCTCTCTGCTTCAAATATGATGAATATTTAAAAAAAATGTTCTGTAATTTATTTATCCATCAACACAATTTAAATTCGATGTATAGTCTGAAGTCTGTAATTTTGACACAGTTTGGAACAGATTTTTATGAAGAGCAAATCTTTCCCACTAAATTGGTCATATGACTAGGACATAATGGTGTCCAGGGACTCCAGGGGATTAATCGTGAAATTAATCGTTATCGGCTAAATACCACAATTAATCGTGATTTTTTTTTTTTGCCAATATTGCCCAACCCTACTGTTGAGATAAATTATTAATAGACTATTGCAACAGTTTTGTTCTTTCCAGTATCTTTTCATATTATTATCTATGTAAATAATGACATTTTTCACATTTTGTTAAAAATTAAGGTTTAATTACTTTGGTGGAGAAATAATTTGAGTGCTATAGTATATAATAATGTAATGTCATACAAAATAATAATTTTCCCCCAAAGAGTTAAAAACATTTTTAAATATAAAATTTATTTTTTCCCTCATTATTATATTGATTTTAACCCTTTAGAACCCAGATCCATTTCTACTTTAATGACTGAACCCAAACGCCCACAGTGACACTGACATATTGCATCTGAATAGATTTATTTTTGATAACCAATTATGTATTTTTTGTTTGTTTGCAGAAGTAACTTTTGAACTTTAATACAAGTATTAATTGTTGCTCCCTTGCTCAGGATTAAGGAGACCGGTGCTCAGATAAGTCGAGTAAGAAAAAGGTTTTATTGGATTAGCGTGGCAGAAATGGTTAAAGACTCACCCTCAAGCACGTGTGTAAAATAAGAAATGAAAAGTAAGCGATGCCAACATACGTACTAAATAAATAAACTGACTCACCTCTGTGAGCCATAATGATGCCAGGAAGTGTTTTTGTTAATTGTTGATTTGTTTCCTGGAAATGATGCACACACATTAGGTTACATCAGTCTAAGCTGTTATTTGCTGCAGGAGGGGAAAAAAGATACTACTCAGTTTTATGGTGTTTGCCTGATTTCTTTGTGTTGCCATCCAGACTTCCATCTGTTACTTTACTTCTGTTCATCGTCAGTGTGACTGCAATTTTTCTTAGTCTGCAAACATTACTGTTGTTTTTTTTTTAAATTACATACATGACTTTGTGACTAATTTTTGTATTAAGATGCAAAGTTAATGAAATTGCCTTGTGTGTTACATTAAAAAAGTCTTATTTGTAATCACACCAGTCACCAGTCAGGTGTCGTTCACATCAGCAGATTTATGAATTATGTAACTTACATTGTCTGCCTCTTCATTGTTCATGAAAAAGCCACATTTGACTGTCATGTCATGTTACATCTTTCAGTTGAGTTCAGTAATCATCATTGTGGACTTGCACACATCATTCATTTTTAGCATCTCTCTTTTTTATGTATTGGATCAATCATTCACTCATGCTTTCATGCAATTTTACTTTGCACAGTTGCAGTTACAGAAGACCCAGTATTTGCAACTAGGGCAGAATCGTGGACAGTACTATGGAGGCTCACTGCCCAATGTCAATCAGATTGGGAATGGCAACATTGACCTGCCTTTTCAGGTGAGCCCTTAGCCTCTCTCGGCAATGGTTTGTTGTAGATCAGTGTTTCCCTGACAGCTGTTAGTGAATGTTGGACACACACGGGTTATAGGTGTTTTAACTATTGTTGAAAACTCAGTTTTAAAAAAGGGCCTTGCACATTTCTTTAGAGGCTTTGCCGGCTTTTCTTTGGCTGTAGGTCAAAGCTTTATAGTGACAGAAGAATAGATGTTTTACAGGTCTTCCTTTTTCTTCAGCGTTCTGATTTAGTTATTTAAATTTTAAATTACACCATTGCTTTTCATGGCTTTCCATCTTTAAATACATTTGCCAACTCAAACATCAATATTGGGGGGCCCATGGCTTGATTCATTTTGAAGCAAACACATTTGCACCATTTCTTCAAATACGAAGTTTGGCTATGTATTTATTTTAGTGCTTTCCCAACCTGATWCACCTGGTGTGTTCACTCTAGAACTCTGTGCTGGATACCAGTCGGACAACCAGACACCACGGGCTGGTGGACCGCGTTTACCGCGACCGGAATCGCATCACATCTCCTCACCGCCGCCCTCTGTCAGTTGACAAACACGGTCGCCAGATATCCTTTTTGATGAACCATGTMCTGTTGCCGTTGCTCTAAGACAAATAATTTGAACAGCTGAGTTTAAAAGGATCCACGATTATTTGTAACATTAGACCTTGTTTGATAAACATATATTTTAACTGTAAAATAAAGACTGTAAAAATACTGTAGGCTGTTTAGTTTTGGAAATTTTTCAAAATATATTTTAACACGGATGGAGCCATTTTATTTACGCGCAAAGCATTCTGGGTAAATGATGACATGTATAGGTCCTTGGTGTGAGTGAGRTATATCCACCCTGAAGGTTAATCTTGGACAACATCTGACGATCGGCTCTTTTAAATGAAACCAGAGAGCGTTGACAGAGAGGAGAAGGTAGAAATGACAGTCTGTAACTGAAAATATGGATGGAGGACAACAGAGCTGCTTCATGGAAGAAGAACCTCAGCTTAGCCTGTTAGCTTTAGCGCCAACACTATATATCCCTATATGTATTAGCTTGGCGCTAGCGCAACAAACTAACAAGCTAAACTGAGGTCCTCCATCCATATTTTCTGTTGCAGGCTGAGTTATTTTTGTGTTTCTCACTGTCATGTGGATGGAGGACCTCAGTGACGAGAGGAGAATGTGTAGCACTGAGCTAATACATATATATGTGGTGATAGTGTTGGGGCTAACTCTAAAGCTAACAGGCTAAGCTGAGGTTCCTCTTCCATGAAGCAGCTCTGTTGTCCTCCATCCATATTTTCAGTTCCAGGCTGAGTCATTTCTACCTTCTCCTCTCTGTCAACGCTCTCTGGTTTCATTTAAAAGAGCCAATCATCAGATATTGTCCAAGATTAACCTTCAGGGTGGATARAGCTCGCTAGCAGCCTCACACCGAGGACCTATCCATGTCATCATTTACCCAGAATGCTTTGCATGTAAATAAAATGGCTCAGTCTGTGTAATATATAAAAAAATTAGTTTAAAAATGATAAAAACTAAATATCCTACAGTATTTTTACAGTCTTCATTTTACAGTTAAAATATATGTTTATCAAACAAAGTCTAATGTTACAACTAATTGTGGATCCCGTTAACAACTTTGACTGGTCAGGTGTTAGATTAAATCAGCCAAGAGGGATGGAAATAAAGATTATCTTTGATTAACTAAATATTTTTAATATCTTCTACTTTGTTACCCTTGACTAGATTCACATTGACAGCTGTCCTTACAGCTCAGTTTACCTCTCCCCGCCGCCAGACACTAGCTGGAGAAGGTGAGCCATCTCACTGGTCCATTCATCAAAATTACAACCAGCACACACACTCGCCTCACTTACAATTCTTAAATTAAACGTCGTTGTGCTGATTGGTTGATAGAGAACCGTCAGAGCCCAACTAGCAACCAGGGCAGCCACGTATCGTGCAACATATCAAAGTTCAGTAACAGGGCAGTGATCTCTGATGAATATGATGTAGAGAGTTATCTTTTGCTCACATGCCCTCTTTTCAACTCGCACAGGACAAATTCAGACTCCGCCTTACACCAGAGCYCCATGAACCCGAAGCCCCAGGAGGTGTTTTCAGGAGGATCACAGGAGCTGCAGCCTAAACGAGGTGAGGAGGCATCCAGMTGCAAAGGCACAGACGCTTTTATTTATTTATTCATGTGCAAACCCAGCCAGCAAACAGCGAATGACATAAAAGGGTTGATTCCAGATACAGGCAGATCATAACGCACAGTAAAATATTGATGGTGTAAATGGATACTGATCTCCAAAGAAGAGTTTCAGTATGCTCGCACTGTACTTACCTAGCTGTGGAGACATTTGTGAATAAAGCTGACTTACCTCGAGAGAAAAATCGATAAACAACTGATTATTTATTGATTGTGTCTTTTTTGTGTGTGTGTGTGTGTGTGTTTGTGAGACTCTGATACAATGAAGCCAAGATTAGCTGGCATCCATTCAGTCTGTCTGGTGGTCACCTTGCTATTTTTAGACTTGTAGGAATCTGGTGCACAGCAGTACTATTTTCAGCATGACTGGCTCAAATATTGATGACTCTTTTCTTTTCCATTAGTTAGAATTCTGGGTCTTGTGTTTCCCTTGATTAGTGCTGCTTTTAACGGTGCCCGGGACAGAAAATTCAGAGTCGGATGCCGACAAAGACGCTCAGAAACAGCTGTGGGATGACAAAAAGGTACCACTGATGGACGGTACAGGAACACAAAGTGCATTACATTAGTATTTGGATTGTGGCTCATGTTTACATTTTCTCCGTAGGATGATGCATCGAAGCCCAATACATGTGAAGTCCCAGGAATCAAGTGAGTTTTTTTGGTTTGTAGTTTCATTATTCACTTATGTAAAAAGTCCCAGGAGAAAAGCAGCCTGTAGGTCACAATYTCCAAGTAAAGATGGCTGTAAGTGTGCAGGAAAGGCACGTTAACTCATTTACTGTGGTGATGGACCAAATGTGATTTACATCCAAATAAAAAAACAAATTAAAAGGATTTTATCAAATGAATGACATTAGTCAGGTGATTTTATTTTTGTTAAATTTAGTTTTTCTGCTTCTAAAGGTTTTTCGAATCCTGACATCAACCAAGAGACAAAAACAAAACAAATAAATAATGTTGTATAAATAACCAAACAATTGTCCTTTTTTTGTATTTGTTTGTTTAGTATATTTCCATCACCAGACCAGGAGTTAAACCCATCTGTAGTTCCAGCTGCACACAATACCGGTGGTTCTCTGCCGGATCTGACCAACATCCAGTTTCCTCCTCCGCTGTCCACTCCACTCGACCCCGAGGACACCGTGTCCTTCCCCTCTCTCAGCTCRGCCAACAGCACGGGCAGCCTGACCACAAACCTCACCCACCTGGGGATCAGTGCTGCCAGCCACGGTAACAACTGATATTTCACGTTGAGATGAAATAGGAGGATTTGATTTTATACGTAGTAGAATTCAGTAGAAGTTTTATCAGACACAAAGGATGTCAAAGTAAAACATGTACAGCAGATTACCTGTATTCTCAAAATGTCAACAGCACTATTCAATTCAGTTTATTTAAATATCACCAAGTCACAACAAATGCCGTTTCAGGGCACTGTACAAAAAAACAGAATAATCCAAAGAAGCCAGCTGATTAACTTGAAGCATGTCGTCACAGTCTCCCATCCTGAGCAGCATGTTGGTGGTAGCAGAGAGGAAAAACTCCCTTCTAACAGGAAGAAACCTCCAGCAGAACCAGGCTCAGGACAGATGACCATCTGCCTCGACCGGCTGGGTTTGAGAGGACAGAAAAGAGACACAAAGAAACCATGACTGGTCCGGTTGTATTTTTCTCTGGAAGAGAGACTTAAAAACATGTTATTGATAGAAATAATTGCAACAAACGTAGAGAAGAGAGACTAAAGACAACAGCAGAGTGAGGAAATGGGCTCAGTTTGTGCTCCAGCAGTCTAAGTCTATAGCAGCAGAAATGAAGAATAATTCAGGAAACCTAAGTCTAACTATAGGATTTATCAAAAAGGAAAGTCTTCAGTCTAATCTTAAAAGTAGACAGGGTGTCAGCCTCATGGACAGAAACTGGAAGTTGGTTCCACAAGAGAGGAGCTTGATAACTGAAAGCTCTGCCTCCCATTCTACTTTTAGAAACTCGAGGAACCACAAGTAAAGCTGCAGTCTGAGAGCAACGTGCTCTGTTAAGAGAATARGGAACAATAAAATCCTTAATATAACTGTGTAATATAACTACAATAKGATGCTTTCTTTAGTATAAGTTAGGGCTGGGCGGTATGACCTCAAATTCATATCATGGTATAAAATGAACCCCTTCACGGTAACGGTTTATCTCGTATTAGAGCTTTTTTTTGCAGAAAACTGTAATCTTAATTAAACCCAACATTTTTGCTTTAATATCTGCCTGCCAAACAATGAGCTTCTGCCTGCTGAACTTATCAGCTGCTGCTCTGCTGCGCACTCATCTTCATCATCTTCATCATTAGAGCAGAAGTCAACTTTACATTAGCAAGATGGATTTACGACTGAACGAACGTCCACGTCTTTTTTTTAAAAATAATCTCTGTGGGTAATAACAACACATTAAAAAAAACATTTTTTTCTCCGACAATTGGGTGTGAAAAACTACAGTTGTTAAAGCTTCGCTCTGCGTGACGTGCAGCGGGAGGAGAGGAAAGGAGAGGGAGGGAGGAAATGATCCTGCGACACGACATAACTTTTCTACAGCTGGAGGAGGAAATTTTGAGGATTTATTCTCTCTATACGTGTTTTAAAATGCTAGAATTTCTTCATTATATTTCGAACTCCTGCTCAGTTGTCTCTGCACTCGCAGCCCTGTTGACACAGGTGCGATGACGTAATTACGATAGGACAGTAGAGTATAAATTTCTACCGTAGGCCAGCTTCCCCTAGAATAAGTGCACGGCTGGAGTTTCTAGTTGCCTATTATTTACTTTCTGAACACTTGGTCAGTTTGGCCCGACGTCAAAAGTTCTTCGCTGTATTAGAATCTGACTCACCGGATGTCATCTGCTGGTGTGAGCTCATGAGTCTCTTCCCCCAAACAGGAGTTCAAGTATGTTCACAAGTGATAGCAGAGATGCATCGAAGGATCAGGGTGGCAGTAATGAGGTCATGGTGAAGAAAGAACTGAGCTTAAAGAACAAGTTCTTGATTGGCTGCTCTGTTTACTTTGCAACCCTCACATATGGACCAAAAGGTTGTAATGGGCCTTTTCCCTTGGGTGGCAAAGCTGCTGCTCCTCCACATTAAAGGGAGTCAGCTGAGGTGGTTCGGGCATCTTATTAGGATGCCTCCTGGGTGCTTCCCTCTGGAGGAGGAGCCTGGTAATGGTGTTCACATGACAGACACACGCATAAGATGGTTGAGCAAGATATTTAACTGGAAGTAAAATATAACTAAGAAAAAGTCAAACTAATTAGTTTTATTACTCTGTGGTTGTGATTGTTTGCTCTTTCTATCTTATTCCTCTTACATCCCTGACTTATTTGACGGTTTATTCTGACCTACAGAAGAAAATCAGTCATGTTTGTGTTAATTTCTCCTCAGGAATCCCCGCCTCCTCTCAGCCCACCATGACTGTAACAGCTCAGCGCAGACAGCCACCTGTGATGCCGCTCACCCTCACCTCTGACCTCCACCTCCAGCAGTCTCCACAGCAGCTCTCGCCCACCCTCTCCTCACCTATAAACATCACACAGGTGAATGTCTGTCTGAAGGGTCACCTTGAAAGCACTGTTTTGAGTAGAAATTCTGACTTGCTAGTTTGCATGTATTGTTGTGTAGGTTGTACCAGCAGAAACGTTAACCCTGGAACAGCAGCTTTCCCAGTACCCCCTGTTCAACCAGCTGACGCCCCAGGCCCAGGCTCAGCTCCTCAGTGATCTCCAGAAGCAGCAGGCCCTCCCGCAGGGCATCCAGCTGATCGCTTTGCCAACCCCGGCCTCGTCTGGGACAGCTACAGCAAGCAGCCCCTCCCCGGACAGCCAGACCACCGCCAGCATGAGCATCAGTTCGGTATGAAACAAGYAAGAAAGAAAATGTGAACAAAAGTTGCAACTTAATTACAGAAATACAACTATTACGCTTGTGGACTCTCGGCCCATTTTACAGCTTTGTTCTCAAAGCTTCCTGTGTGTGCTTAACAGTAACTTTGGCACATTCTTTTTGCTACTTTTAAGGCTGGTCTTTTCTAAAAGGGAGCCAGGATTAGTTGTAACATTAGACTTTATTTGATAAACATTTATTTTAACTGTAAAATAAAGACTGTAAAAATACTGTACGCTGTTTAGTTTTGTAAATTTAGTAAAATATATTTTAACATGGATGGAGCCATTTTATTTACATGCAAAGCATTCTGGGTAAATGATGACGTGGATAGTTCATCGATGTGAGCGACCTATATCCACCCTGAAGGTTAATCTTGGACAATATTTGACGATCGACTCTTTTAAATGAAACCAGAGAGCGTTGACAGAGAGGAGAAGGTAGAAATGACTCAGTTTGTAACTGAAAATATAGATGGAGGACAACTGTTAGCCTTTGCGCTAGCGCCGATGCTATACTGCCTTATATGTATTAGCTCGATGCTAGCTCGACAAACAAACAAGCTAAATTGAGGTCCTCCATCCATATTTTCAGTTYCAGACTGAGTCATTTTTGTGTTCCCCTCTCTGTCATGTGGATGGAGGACCTCAGTAATGAGAGGAGAATGTGTAGCGTTGAGCTAATACATATATATGGTGACAGGTAAAAAATTACCTAGAATATTTACAAATACAAACAAGGAAGAAAGAGACAGTCAAACTCAGCTTTGACAAGAGTGAGGAGGACACAGGACAGGAAGTCAGCTCAGTACCTCCAACCCAACGTTCTGAGGACTTCCTGCAGTTCACCCTCTTTTATTTAGTTTTCACGCCCCTAGTTACATGGACATGAGACTGCCTAAGAGAAGGGGGGAAAAGTGCAAGTCTCATGTCAGACATTAATCATAAGCGCAATTGTTGAACACTGCTTAGTTGGTCTTTTTCTCTTCTGCTTCACCACGTCCATCTTGTGCATCTTCAGGAACCATAGGCGTGCATCAGAAAGTCCCGAGTGACCATTTCTCCTTCCTGTGTTCTGCAAGTCATCATTATCTATTTGGAGAAAGATCATAACAGCACAGCAACAAGCAAAGTTCACGACAGCAAAAGTTCACTGTAACTAAGACAAAGTTCACCACAGGTTGATTGAGTTTTGGAATGACAAAACATATATATTAAAATTAAACCTATCATAAGGCGATAGCGTCTGGGCTAATGCCAAAGCTAACAGGCTAAGCTGAGTTTCTTCTTCCATGAAGCAGCTCTGTTGTCCTCCATCTATATTTTCAGTTACAGGCTGAGTCATTTCTACATTCTCTCTTTCAACGCTCTCTGGTTTCATTTGAAAGAGCCAATCATCAGATATTGTCCAAGATTAACCTTCAGGGCGGACATAGCTCGCTAACAGCCTCACACCGAGGACCTATCCACGTCATCATTTACCCAGAATGCTTTGTGCGTAAATAAAATGGCTCCATCCGTGTAATATATTTTTAAATTTTTAGTTTAAAAATGATAAAAACTGAACATCCTACAGTATTTTTACAGTCTTTATTTTACAGTTAAAATATATGTTTGTTAAATAAAGTCTAATGTAACAACAAATCATAGATCCCTTTTAATATTGTACATTTTTAAAGCAAATTTGTGTGAGCATCAAAGTAGGAAATGGTTTACTGACAATTGGAAATGCCAGTCGTTCTTTATAATAACTTTATAGTAGCTTCTTAAACATACACTTTTTTATGATATTTTGCACAAATACAGAAAAACTGGTGAGCCACAAAGTTTCCTCATTTTGTGTTTGAAGATTGTTGGTAACATTTATTGAATCTTAGTGCGGAGCTAACCCTCTTCCCTCCAACAGTACCGCAATCAGACTGGCTCACCAGCCACTCAGTCTCCAACCTCCCCAGTCTCCAATCAAGGATTCTCCCCCGGAGGCTCGCCTCAAGTAAGAGCCCACCCACTGAGCTCACTGCTGTCTGGGGCGGGTCTTTGCTCCTGAGGGAACTCTAACTGTAGCTAGTCCGGCTCACTGAAATAGAGAAACGCTGGAATGACCATTGATGGCACTAGGCAAGATCTTTGGCAGACATCTTTTGTGTATCATTCTGTGCTGTTTACTGGTGGAAGCTGCACATTTTTAGTACCTTGTACATGCTGTGTGATGTTTCATCATCCCATAAGCAAAAACTCTTGTTTTATCTAACTAAATACATTGTTCATAATGTGAAAACAGAAGACAAGGATTCTGTAATGAGCTTCTCATCAAGTCCAGATCCAACTTTACTGGACAAAAAACACAAATCTGACAAACAAACATTAATGAGATGAAATAACCAAATTCTGTAATTATTCTAACCAGTATGTAAATGCACTTTAAATAACTCAGTACTTTACATGTCTGCTAGGGATGGGCGATATGTTATCGTGTGCGATATACCGTCAAAGACATTCACCATGGTAATAATTTGTCACCTCGCAATAAAAACGATAAATTCCAACCGTGTGCCACCAGGCTTTACATGCCTCCCTGCCAGGCATTTGTTTGTTTACTCAGAGCAGACGTCAATGTGTGGAGCATGTGCTAAAGTACAGAAGCTAAAAAGCTATCGTAATGACTCTCAGCGTGCAAAAATCTAGTCATAGGGCCCTATAATTTCCACAATGCGGAAAACGCGGACGGAATCGCAGAATTGACCAAACAAAATGAAATTCTGTGTAAAACGCGGAATCTCACGGAATTAGCTTTTTTTGGCCACTGCCACTCCCTGTACCTGCCGTTACCTGGTAACAGGCACGCCGGGTGGACTTGACTGAGCGCACCTCCAGACACGGGGGTGGTTGTGACCCGCACAGCGAACAACAAACTTGCTAAAAGTAATGTCCTCCAAAAATATGAAGCTAGCATAAAGTTTAGGACATAACAATGTCCCCGCGGTTATTTATTTACCTGTAGTAGAACTTTTCTGCAAGTTTTTTTGGCACACGATGGGCTGTACGCTGTGAAGACCACGTCCTCCGAGTCACAGACAGAGGAGCAGCAACAGAGACATGAAAACTCCTGAACACTCAGTGGGGTGGGAGTCTAACTGGTAGTTTATCCATGATTTTGTTGTTGTTTGTGCAGAATCAGATATTCCTTTAGAAAAAATAAAAAACCTTTGAACCTGATCATTGCACTTAATCTTCAATAAAACAAGTGTGTAAACAGATTAAACATCACTCTACAACCAAGAGCAAAAATAAATAGTAAGACTTAGTCAGTTATTTAAATTGATAGCTACCTTTCTTACTGCTGCATTTCCACTTTCTACAGTCCGAGCATCATGTGGAAATCAGCCTCTCGCTCCAGCAGGGAGCAGTTTTTAGCACTGCGCGCTCGTATTCCGAAACAAAAGCTGCGCTCTTCTTTCTTCTGTCCATCAATCCCAGAGCTAATCCACGGACAGCACTCTGCTGATGTCAAATTCGTAAGTGTGCTGTCCTCGCTTATAGAACCACTGACCGGAGAGGAGGTTCTGAAACAGCTCGACTGTGCGCGGAAACATCGAGACATACTGGACCGAGCCGAACCGCATAGCTGCTGCCAGGGTGGAGAGCAGAGCCTGGTTGTCTCTCTGGTTTAAAACCTACACGGTTCTGTGCCCCCAGGGAAAACTTGTTCGTGACAGTTTTGCACTTAGCTTCAACTCTGTTTTTGATGAAAATAGAAAGTACTGCTGACATCGCTCCTACTTCTTGCTACTTTGTTAGCGCATCATGTTGTGATCATGTGGGTTCTGTACGCTGGATCCAAGCACTGCTGGAGAGAAATGGTGGAACGGACTGCTTCTATCAGAGCGATTATTTATCAGAGATTTTAGATGCAGGCAGATAAAATCCGATAGTTGTTTTTTGGCTGATATTGGACCAACATCAATATCGGATCGGGACACCCCTAGATATTTGTGCCATCTATTGTGCGTTAAGAATGATTTAGTCTGATTTAAAAAAAACATCCGGACCGCTTTGATCTCAAATCGGGGATATTCAACATGTTAACTTGTCTTGTCCCGATATTCCAGCGTGTGTGGTGTCCCCTGAGGACAAACGAGCTCGCAGCCTGTTGAATGTGACTTGTAGCCAATCAAAAAGTGAGGCGACGAAAACACAAAGGGGAATCCAAAACATCGAAGAGAAAACAACATTCATGGAGCACCAGAAAGTCCGGTGGACGTTGGAGGGGTCTTTTTGTTTTTCTTTGTTAAAAATAATCCTGAAACTGTCGCCGTCGCTTCTTCCTCGTCAGCCATGTTTATTTACTCTGAACTCACATTTGATCTCAAGAGGTCTCGCAAGATTCCCCATCTGACACCTGAATGTTGATGAGTGAAATCTGTTTGTGTGTGGTGTGTTGTCTTGTGGCTGTACATCACACAGGACCACACCTGTTGTACCATTTTTTATCGTCATGTGTAGGGTGTCTCAGGTTTTGAAAATCAGCCATCAATTTTAAAATCTTGCCATGTGAGCCAGACATAACATGCTCACTTTGAGACATAAAGGTCTTCTCAGTATGGCGGCACAAATTCTCATCTTACTAGCGTAGACTGCACAGGGGACGGCCATTCCAGTGTTTCTCTAATCCAGTGGTCAGATGGATTATCAATCTCATGTATCAGCAGTCACCCACTCATGCAGCCATCAGCTGCACAACTCATTTCTTCATCACTGCTGTTACTGTTCACTGTGTGCATGGCTTGATGAGGGAGGCTTTGACCATTCATGGGTTTTAAAATGTTACCATACCAACTTTATTTATAAAGCACTTAAACAACCATAGGACCAAAGTGCTGTACAGTCGCAGTCAATAAAACACACAACAGTCACAGTACATAATAAAAGCCAAAACCAAAAATTAAAACTATACTGTACAATAAAACAAATACATGAAACCAATTAAAACAAATTAAATGTTAATCTTGGACTGAGTTTACTTTTAAACTATAACTTTCTCCTAAAATAATCTTGATCACACGTTCAGTAGAAGATGGTATCAGACGATTAAACAAGGATTCCACCTCTTTAAAACCATTCACACAGTGATGAGCAAGTGTTCAGTGAGGCCTTTTTCACTGTAACAACATTATGAAGGGAAACAGTTGGGCAGTAATTTGACATATGAGTAATGCTGGCATTTTTCCACCACCTCCGTTATTGACATTCTCTGTTTAGCCTTGTTTACTTCACAGAGGTGATGAGTTAAGTGTTCTCATGATCATAACACAGACAGTATGTAGAATAACAAACCAGGTTCACGTCAGTGAGCAAATTTGTTTGTTGCTTCACGAACGGGGCAGCCACCTCTTGTTCATCTTATTTTATTCCTCTGTTTTGATTTAAAACATCAAATGTTTATTAAATTAGAACCATCCAGAGACAGTGATTATTTGGTAAGTAATACCACAGCAGCAGCCCCGATGGTGAAAACTATTTGTTTTAATTCACAGCTCAGTTTGATCGTGTTTTCTTTGGGTTTTAGTTAGTCTTTGTCGAAACATTCATTCCATTTTATTAGGATTTTCTCAAAATTTTCTCATCCGTCAGCACATTCCTGTGGTGGGCAGCATTTTTGGTGACTCCTTCTATGAACAGCAGCTGGCGTCGAGGCAGACCAACGCGCTTTCCCACCAGGTAACAGAAGGCAGAAACAATAAGAGAAGGGATGTTTTCCTCCAGTTGTTTCTGACTCTGCTGGTTGACGATTTAATAATTTTTTTTCTCAGCTCGAGCAGTTCAACATGATCGAAAGTCCCATCAGCTCCTCCAGCCTGTTCAACCAGTGCTCCACCCTCAACTACACACAGGCAGCCATGATGGGCCTCACTGGGAGCAGCCTACAGGACTCACAGCAGCTCAACTACAGCAGCCATGGCAACATCCCAAACATCATCCTAACAGGTAGTCGAACCACTGACGCTGTCTTTACATCGTTACACAGCAGGTTTTTTTTTATAAAGCAGCATTTAAAGGGGACATATCATTCAAAATCCACTTTTTTTAACCATTAACTGCATTTTGTTATGCACTTGGAGTCTTCAGGGTTCGTGCCGGGTCTTAAAAAGTCTAAAAAAGTCTAAAATTTGAAAATCAAAATTTTAGGCCTAAAAAACTCTTAAAAACGCCCAGATTTTCATCCAAGGTCTTAAATTGAATTTTGTCAAGTCTTAATGTTTTCTACTTTTGATCATTCCTGAGAACCGTTGGCTGCATAAATAAAGAAAGTTAAGAGTCGTAATCAGAGGTTGACACGATCTGTCTTCATGAAGAGCTAAGTTTGCTACTGGTCATGATTAAACCACAAATCCCCTGATAACTGCAGGCAAAAATGGCACAGTTTACGTCCATGTTTATGACCTCTTTGCCGCTACAACCCCCCACATAGAGTGACTTATTTACCTGCTCAAAAAACAGAAGTTCAGTCATGTCCACTGCTTGTTCTTTAAACATGGGAAAGTGTATTTTCAATGAGACTTGACTTGATATCAGTGATTTTTTCACTCTGTTGAAAGCGGTTCATAGCAGTCAGATATGACCGTTTCATTCAAATAATTTAGTGTTCTTGAATTAAAATTAAATATTTTTTAATAACCAAATAGATAGCAATAAAAAGTTTCTATTATAAAATTTCTGGGACCATTTGAATGTTTCCGTTAATGCGTCGATTTGGTCTTAAATGTCATTACTAATGGTCTTAAAAGGTCTTTAGAAGGTCTTAAATTTAACTTACTGAAACATGCATGAACCCTGGTCTTTAGGAGTGCAGAAAATGTTAAATTTAATGTCTCCCAGTTCTCTATAGATATCTTTATATTCTTTTGTGTCGTATTTTTCAACCCGTTAAATTCTCTCATTTCTCATTTTCCTAACTATTACGTCACAGAATTTGCGACAGAACTYCCAAATATGGTTTGGACTTACGAACTACAATTTTGTGGTCTTCATTCTCCTCTGGCCCTGGGTCAGAATCTGGTTCCAACATGTGAGGCTGGATGGACAAGTCTTCCCTTGTTGACATATTTATTTAATAAAAAAAAAAAGACAATTTGTTTACAATTTGTAAAGTTTACTGTTTTATGCGCTGCTATACGAAACGAGTTGATCTGAAACGCACCTCAGAAAAGGAGTGAAAGAGGGGCTTGTGGAGTTACAATAAGTACGAATTCAGACATTCAGTTCAACTTTTCTACACCTTAATTGAATGATTTAAATGTGGAAAAAGTGTGGATTTAAAAGTGTGATATGTCTCCTACAACATGAAGGGTTTTATGGGCCACATTTTCTTAAACGATAGCTACGTTCACACTGTAGGTCTTAATGCTCAATAACATTATATCTTAAACGTGACTCCCATCAGACTCCAGTGTGAWCTCTCCATCACACTGATGCAACCTGTATGTGCAGAAAGTAACATCACATTCAGCTCGTTCACAGAAGTAAACATGGACGCTACATGTTAGCGTGTGGATTCTGAACTTGCTGTGCAATCAGAGCCAATTAAATAATTAACTGACACTGTTTACGTTTGAACCTGCCTTTCCAGCTGCTCCAATGCAGCATTTTATTTTTTGAACAATTTTTTGAAAAAGTCACGGTTTGAAAACCACTAAATTTTTCTGTCATACGATCTGTCATTCTGTCTACTGTATGACAGAACGGAAAGCGTTTTTTGTTTATTTTTCCTCGGGTCTGTTAAGCTGCAGACTTTCCCCCGCGCACTCCCGCAGCAGACTGCCTGTCAGCAGCACTCTGCTCAGCTCTGCGAGGGTTGTGTGATGGTGGTTGAAGAACAGAGTTCCCCAAACTTTACTCCTGTCTAAAATAATAAAGCCATCTATATGAAAACACTTAGGATGCTGTAAAGACGACAGCAATGTGGACCGTAGAGGTAACACGTGATCACAGCTCTAGGTAAAGGTCATGCCATCTTGAAAGGAATGATCACAGCTTGTCTGCAAAACTGTTTGAGTTGTTGGATTATTTGATAAGTTTTAAGTGAAAGGTGATAAAACTGAATGCCTCCTTTAGCCGAGCAGTTCGTTAGCTGAATGTGCGTTTCATAAACACGCATTCATAGTTGTGATTTCTAGTTTCTGTGTGCATATAATTATATAATCTTTACGTCAAAAACCCTTTTGAAATTTAAAACACAATAAAAACTCCCAACGTGATACGTTACTTCCATAAAAAGACTTATTGTGCAGTATACACTGATTCATCTTAACTAATAAAGCAGTGGAAAAGCAGTTATCCTATTATTGTAGATATAAATTTTATCAGGATAATCTAATTGGTGCTAAAAATCACAAGTATAAAAGCACACAGGTAAATAAAATTTCAGCATAACACATCTGAGATCTAAAAACAGCTTCCAAAGATAATTAAAGTTGAATATGATAAAAGAAAAGTTATTTTTCTTTTTTTGTTTTTAAATAAAAATTTCAAAACAAAATTTTTAGAGCTGTAATCATAATACCGTCAAACTGCGAAACTGTGATATTTTTGCCCAAGGTTATCATACTGTCATAATTTCATACCATCCCATGCCCATGCCTAATTCACACACACATTCACACACTGATGATAAGTAAACTACATTGTAGCCACAGCTGCCCTGGGGCAGACTGACTTGAGTGTCTTGCCCAAGTGACTGAAACGGCTGAACGGGGGATCGAACCGACAACCTTCCGGTTCCAGGACCACTCCCTTCACCACTCCACCACAGCCGCCCAGATGAACAGTTGTCAATACAGGGCTTTAGAGAATCAGTACAATATTGGGGAAATGAAATATTGCGATATTTCAGTGCATCAATATTTATTTACACCTCTAATCAGATATTTATCTGATTTAGTACCACAACCTGAAAAGGCATGMGTCGGACGTGAAAAAAAAAATAGGACTTGTCACGTTCAGACTGCCATACAAAAATCAGATTTGGGTTGCATTTACCTGCAGTGTGAACGTAGCCTAGCCTAGCAAATACTGATGTGATTGTTGCCAAGCCTGGCTGAGTTTCTCAGATGTCACGTTCCTCAGTCACAGGTGAATCTCCGCCAAGTCTCTCCAAAGAGCTGACCAACTCTCTGGTGGGCGTTGGTGACGTGAGCTTTGACGCAGACTCTCAGTTTCCTCTGGACGAGCTGAAGATCGACCCGCTCACTCTGGACGGACTGCACATGCTCAACGACCCCGACATGGTGCTGACCGACCCCGCCACCGAGGACACGTTCAGGATGGACAGACTGTAACACGACGAGCTGACTGACGTTCGGAGCTAAGTGAGAAGATGGGGGAAAAAAAATAACACACACTAACTTGTGAATGAAGAGAAATTAAGGGCCGGATGAACCCTCTCCCTTGTTGCATGGCTGTCCAGGTGTTTGACCCTTCGAAACGAATCTCCACCATAAGACGACGAGTAAAAAGACCCCCAGTGGCTCGCCATGGAATGGCCTCGCTGTCGTTTTGAAGAAAAATGGTCGCTCAGCGCTTTTGCTAGCCTACTGTGTTTACAGTGTTCCATTAATTGCCACATATTACGAAAACACACATTTGATAGCTTTTTTCATATCCACATTTCTTTTATTCACATTTGCTTGTAGCAGAAAGCTGCTAAAACACTGAGTTGAATCATTTTTATGGCTATGTCTAAAAGAGGGAGAAAAAAAAACAACAACAACGTAGCCGGTTTCGCTCGCTGCCCCGCGATGAAATTCCATCACAGAGTAACAACTTTCTATTTCATGCTCAAAGCTTTATTTTTGACAACCAAATGTTATTTTCATCTTGTACTGTATGTTTTTAATGCTTCACATATTTATATGTTTATTTATTTATTTGTTTAAAGATTTTTTTATATTTCGTTTCATAACTTAAATTTTGATGCCAAAACATCTGTAAGAGTAGTGTAAGATTTCACTGGTGTAATTGTGTTTATTATTACCAACGTACTTYTATGTGTTTTTTGTAAGCTTTACTTGGTTAACGAAGGAGTGTAAAACGTCCCCCATAGTTGCTCTTCGGTGTTCGATGTGCCATTCTCGGATGTTGATGTGCTGCAGCTCTTAACGGGCAAATCCAAATCTCAGTTTTTTTTTTCGCGTCACTTCAGAAAAAGTTGCGTGCTCAAGAAGTTGATTAACGTTATGCTACCGGAATTAACGCTTTCTGGAAAAAAGTAATCAGGTATTTTTATTTAACCAGAACAAAGAGAATAGCATCTAAATTAATTTCTGCCAATTCAAAGCTAAAATGCATATTTATTTATTTATTTATTTATTTATTTATTTATTTATTTAGAAACCGCCTTTCCTTGGGAAGAAGGCAGTTGCTTTTAAACCAGAAAACACTAAAATCTTAATGTTTTTTAGGTCGTCACTGTGAAATCACCTGATTTTGCCTTACAGTAAAATTCTACTGTTCTACGTAAGTGTTTGGTGTAACAGCGTATTTTCCTAACTTTCCTGTATTTAAGGGAAACTTTTAGTCTCTGTGCTTTTGTTACGTGAGGTTTGACAAATCAGTGTACTGTATTTTGTAGCGGTACAGTCTATAGCCAAATTGTTGTTTTTTTGTTTTGTTTTGTTTATTGAAGTGGAGCAACAGCAAAATGGAAAAAAATAAAAGATGTTGAGGCGGATTTAAAGTATTTAAAGAGGGCAATTATGGGGAAGCTTTTTGCTCCTTTGCAGGGAGTCTGACAAAAATGCAAGTAACCTTTTAATGTAGTTATTGCTTATTAAATGAGCCGTTAACAGGTTATTTGGATCATCTGGTGCAATCTTAAGACTTTAAAGAAGAGTTTATTTAAAAGAAATCACAGTATTGGAGAATGTCTATAAACAAAAGTTCACTTTAAGAAAAGATAWAAGTTTATTTTTTGTTATGTGCATTAAGATTTGCCTCTTTGTTCAGTTTTGTAAGCAACACTAACGGCCAAAAAGCAGGAAAATCACCAACTTACAAACCAAAACTGTTTACACACAATCGTCTTAATGACCTGATCTTCGTCATTCAAATTTTAAAACTCYCAAAACTTCAGTAACTTCACTCTGTGCCAAAAAAAAATTGCTAAAAGAAAAAAAATCTGCCTCAGCCTTTTTGTCAGAGTTTCCCTGAGAGGCTTGTGTAGTTAACGTGGGATCATTTATGGTATACTGTAATATTTGTGTGCACATGTACTAATATTTTTACTTTGCTAAAGCGCTGATGGGGAAGCCTCTTGGATGGGATCCAGTTATGTTTTTTTTTTATGTTTTGTACCTCCTGCAGTTTGTTTGGGTTGAAGCGTTCACTGTTTGCTGCAGCGGCTTCATCAGCGGTTTTGTTTGCCTTCGATACACCTGTGGTTCCTATGCAAATGAGATGACAAAATTAAACAGAAAAAAAAATAATATTCTTAAAGAAAAAATCCAACATTGTTCACAAAATCTGCTGGATTTATTCTTGTTAAACTGTTAATGAAAAAAAGGTGTTTTTATAGCTAAACCCTGCATGTTGCTCAGAAATGTAACCTCATATGAGAACTACAAAAACAAACAAAAAAGATGTGCTGCCATTATGGGCTACTTTTCTTTTTATTTAATGTCACTTTGATGGCATTTTGTATCGTGGAAGTTATCTGTAGTGTGCCACATTATTGCTCAACTAATAGATTTATTGTAGAAAATGTAAAGTAGATGATGAGTGCAGGATGTTGAGCGTTGTGGTGGCGATATGACAATCAGTGACTGGAATTCTGCTTTTTTCTTTTCCGTTAGTGAACGAAGATAAATCCAGCTGTTCTTAGATGTTTGACCTTTTTAATTTTCCTAATTTGTTCTGTTTTTACAAATCCTTTCCCCAAAATGGTATTTTAAAACTTAAAAAAAAAATGAAGATTAGTGATGCAGAAACGCATCAAAAATAGCCCAAAGTGTACAATACTTCACCCGTTACTGAATCCCCATCAGTTTTGTTGGATTTTTTCTTTAAGTCTCTGAAAAATATCTGCAGATTTTTGTTTGTTTACAAAAGGTTTTTTGTACCTTCGAGAGAGGGAGAGAGAGAAAAAAAGAGAACAGCGTTCTGTTCAGACTTTACCGTTGTGTTGCCGGCGGTTGGAGCTTTCCTGTCATTTCCTTTCTCTCATCCTCGCTGAAGACGAGTTCAGACTCTGTACATACTATAGCTGAAACAAAATGCATGACTACGCTGACAGTCCAGACCTCTAAACGAAGGCCTTCTATAGCTCTGCAGGTTTGATTTGTGTAACATAAACACTATCACCAAGTCTAAAGGGATGCATGTGTGGGTTTCTCCTGTGCAACAGTGAACTCCTGTTAATTGACTCCGTTACCTCCGTCTCTGTACAATGCTACTTCACGAATGATAAAAGAATGTAACTTCTCTTGTCCTAGTTTTAGCCAAATGAGCCAAAGTTCGGTGCGTCTGGTCKCGTTACGGTCGGACCAGGCTTCCTCGCTCGGCTCTGCAGTCCCCTGGCCCCTCCTCCTCCTCCTCTGAAGAAACAGACTGTTGCTCGTTCCGCTCTTCTTCCTACTGTAGCATCTCTGCGTACCATGGAAACCATTTCATTAAAAAAAAAAAGACCCTGCAGCCGATTCGGTCCCTCCTCTGCCAGCTCAACCTGTTGTCTTTCCTGACTACAAACAGAAGGCCCTGTCATGTAACGGCTGCAGTTCGGCACGTGCACTGATTGTTTGCATTTGTGGACCTTTAAACCCTCTGCATTATGCAGTCAACTGCATGACATGACAGACACATTCAACAGGTTCTTATCTCATGTTATGTACAGGATCTTGCTATGCTCAAGTGGAGTGTGTTTTAAGACAGATGTGATTTTTTTTTTCTTTCTGTTTTTGCCTATCATGTCAGGTTCTGGGTTGGGTAAAGTGAACTGCTTGGTTGATTATTTTTTTTCCTTCCCCTGTTTTTTTGTGCAATGTTTAGTCCACTTGTTGCTTTGCACTTTACTTGTGACTCCCCGGCGTTTGAGCGGGGACGGCTCTGCCCGATGTGAATGCTGACTGTTTCAACACCAGATATATTGTGATGTATACAAACAGATGGATTCTCTATTTTGTTTTGTAAACTATACTGTGGCTTATCGTTTTGTTTTGTTTTTTGTTTTTGTTCGTTTTCAAATGTGTTAAGATTTTAGAAGATGCAAAATTAGAAAGGGCTTACTCCAGTGCAACTTAGGTTCTTGTGTTTTGAAAGTAGCAGAGAGCATCACGGTCAGGTCAGCAGGAATGCATCAGTTGCACATTTTCCTTTTTTATATTTGCAGTTTACCACTGAAAGGTTCACTACACCTTCCCCAGTGTGCAATGCAGCAAAGACATGCAGTTTAACTTTAAACACAACTTCTGTGATGAGGACGTTGGACGTCATCTTAATTTTGTGGGTTAAGGCAGTGGTTCCCAACCTTTTTAGACTTGTGTAGCCCCTGAGCCATTTTGTCATACCACTAGTACCCCCTCTGTCAAACGTAATGATGATTCTCCAAAACTATAATGTACAACAGCTGATTATTAAAAGAAAATTATTTATTTACTGTAACACCCTAGAATGTTTAATTTTCTGAATTTTTTTCAACTCAAATTAAAAATAAAGATAAATACGTTGCCTTGAAAGTGAATAGGTAATTAAATAAATAAACCAGGTAATGGCAGGTGCAGAAAACAGCAGCATCCAAAATACATCAAAAACCCCAAATGAGAAAATTCTGTGAGATTCTGCGTTTTCTACTGGATTCCATTCCTGTGTCAGTTTCGTGATTCCTTGATTCCATTTTCCACATTGTGGAAATCATAGGGCCCTACATATATCCCTGTCCTATTTTTATTTTTATTTTACACATCTGGGAAATTTTTCCAGGTACCCTATGTAATGTGCTTGCGTACCCCAAGGGGTACACGTACCCCTGGTTGGGAATCACTGGGTTAAGGGACAAGGCGTAAAAATTCTTTGCAATTTTAGACAGAAAATGAACTCCAGATTTCCGTAACTACATAGGGAAATCACACAAGTTTAGCATTTGGAGCGTTTCACACCTTTTTCATGTCTAAAATATCAAATACTGGTTAAAGTGAAAGAAAAAAATTATTCCCTTCAGGAAGTCTAATTAACATAAAACACATGCAAAATACTGTAATATAACTTAATTCTATTACTGCGTATCTTATGTTCCCATGTTACCCAGAACTGATTGGAGGCTGCAGATTATTCTTAAAAGCAAAAACAATACATTTGTTTTTCAATTGAAATTGGTCCACTTTAACTGTCCTGTTGGAATCTCTATGTATTATTATTATTATTATTATTATTATTATTATTTTAAATTATTATTTTTATTTTTATTGACTGGGGACCTTAGGATGGTGGGAAGATCGATGCACTCCGATGCTCCAACTATCACGTTACTCTTCAGTCCTACATGAAAAGCTCACCGGGTTTAAATCCGTTCTTAAATCCTCTCCTACTGGCTTCGGTACTTTCCTTTTATCCTCCAAACTTTCCAGGTAGAAAACATCTGATGGATAAAACTTGTGTCTGAGATGCTGACGTTCATTTTCAATAAAAACCATAAATGATGTGACGGGAAATCGAAGCCCTTATTATCACAGACATGCAACCAGCTAACATAACGCTGGAAAACACTTTATATCAGTTTAGGCAGCTAATTAATCTTTCCTTTAAAAAAAAGATACAACTTTAAAGGGAACATGAGTTAGATTTCTGTATCGGAGTTATGTATTTACATAACCTAATGCTGAAATGTGGAAAGGGAAGTTCAGCTTGTTTTTTTTTTAGTTATTAATTAAAAAAAATGTTGTTTTGTTTGGTTTTTGAAATGCACAAATCATTGATTTAATTTGAACTCATCTGTTTTTGTGAAACCAAGATATCCGTTATGGACTCGTATTACTTCTCAAGCTTACAAAGGAGAAACTGAAGTTGTGTTTGAGGATTTTTAGGTGTTTAAATATGTCCCTTTAATAACAAATGACTCTACATTTCATTGAAACCTATGAAAAGCTCTGGAAATACACAGTTTCTGTTCCACTTAAAGCTTCTAGTGAGATTAGCATTATATCACTGTTGTCCTGTAAGTTGTAGTAAGAGGCCTGTAGTATTTCTTTGTTGCCATGTGATTCTCTTAATGTGACCGTTTGTTTATAAAATGAAAGAAAACCATCGATTAAACTGAATGTGGAAGACAGATTTTTCTCTGCATAAAGTCTTGATTTGCAGAAAATGCTGATTCAAAAGAAGTAAAACAAAAAGTCAGATGTCCTTTTCCAACATCACAGCGTGTTGCTGTAGACATGCATGATGTTTCAATCCTGTTGTAAAGTGTCTTTGCTATTGTTTCTATTTTGTAATCTGTATTTCTAAATGCAAATTTAAAAGATTATTTTGGATATGTGCATGCTTGTGAAATGTTCAGAATGTTGATTTCCACTAAAAGGTGTTGAGTTTGGAAAAAAAAAGTCATGTCTTTTACTTTAATTTAAATAAGTATTGAAAAACGTTAAACACTCCTGGTTTAGATTTTCTGCCATCTTTAATAACTTGGAAAGTAAAAGATGACCTGAATATAAATATATAACCAAAATTACTTTTTTGTTGTTTCAAAATAAAACTGAAAGGGCAAGATGGTTTTGAAGGTGTCTTGTTAGCAGACCYTAGAAGTCTGTTTTTGGGGGAAATAAAATATTAGGTTGATTTTAAAGGATGCACATCATGCAAAATCCACTTTTTTAGCTGTTAAATGCATTTTGTTGTGCACTTGGAGTCTATAGGACCATTGCAGTTCCACTTTATTTAGACCCCAAATGAATGATTGAAATGTGAAAAAGGATTTAAAAGAGTGATATTTCTACTTTAATATACCCTTTTTAACTCAAATGTAATTAAATTGTTTCACTCCATTTTTTCTTTTAAAAAAGRTAGAAAATGACAAATGGCCCTCCTATTTTAGGAGGTTTTGTTGCAGCAGAGTGGTCCATACCGCTATGGACACATTTTCAATTTAACTTAAACAARTTTTTATATTTTTCTTATTCAAAATATCCTCATTTCCTGTTCAAATACAAGATGAGACAGATTAGGAGGCTAAATCAAGCTCCGCCTCCAGATTGCACAATCCCTGCTGCAAGTTATGCAGTGAGAGTAGAATGTATATGTTTCAGTATGTCGCAAGCAAAATGTTTCAGATTTTTTTTATATARACRTGACATTCCACAGTTTAGCTGATGTTTATTAGATAAATATGAATTTGTGTAACGTGTTCTGTGAACTGAAACGGCTGGGAAAAGACACGAGTGGAGGCTGGGTTCTCAGGCTCAGGGGGCGCTAGTGAGCTCACAGACTGCATGAGCTGCAGAAGAGGTTACTCTGAGCTGCAGAAGCAGTGTTGCCAGACGTACGATAATTATCGTATGTGTACGATAATTTGGCCCTCTGTACGATGTACGATCAATAATTCCAAAAATCCCATAATGTACGATAATTTGACCGGTCTGATATGTGACGTAATTGACCCGACACGAGTCTCGCTGACATGAGAGGTGGTGGGTTGCGGAACACAGCAGTGCCGATTTAGCGACTTTCTCGCTATATTTACAGAGTTTTCAGACCCATCTAGACTCTAAAGAATAGTGATATGAAACATGACTCATTAACTTCTGCCAATCATATGGTGAATAAGTTGTTCTGAAGGTTCATATATTTGTGAATCTGATTCTGTTGAACTGAGTGCCTCACCATCCATGAACCTCACTGCACGTCACTGATACTGTGTCACTTGTGCAGCAGTCAATCAGCCTTATAGTCGTTAGCAATTGTTCTGAAATTTTTCATAATGAATACCACCACAAAAAATGGCTAAGATGAGATAAACTTATTATTGAGAACCTGATGTATAGGTGGCTCAGTTGGTAGAGCTGTTGCCTCTAAGCAAGAAGGTTGCAGGATTGAATCCCGGCTAGGGACCTTTCAGGATAGTTGACATGCTCTCTCCATGCATGCATGGGTTTTCTCTGAGTATTCCGGTTTCCTCCCACAGACCAAAAACATGACAGTTAAGCTAATTGGTAACAAAATTGTCCCTAGCTGTGAGTGAAAGAGTGAATGGTTGTTTGTTTCATTTGTCTCTATGTGTGGCCCTGCGATGGACTTGCGACCTGTTCAGGGTGTACCCCGCCCCTCGCACCGTGACTGCTGGATATGAGCACCAGTGACCTTTGGGACTCTGAAGGGAAGAAGCCGGTAAAAGATATTGGAGAACCTGACATCATAGATCCGGTCCCAGTACTACCACTTCACCCTAAGCCCCCCTGTGAACTGTGCACTCAGTTGAAGTGCACATAAGGGTTTGAGTGCGCAGGTTACAAGCATGCAAAAATCAAAGAACTGGGACAGTATGGGTAACGTCATCGACTTGTGCCTCTTCGTCAAAACTGTGACATCCAAAATGACAAGACCAGTCGCTGTTTTGGCATTTGAACTGGTAAAAATGACAAAAAGCAAGATTTTAGAAGAAGAAAGTGCATGAACCGAAGGATGCTTTTACACCAAAATATAAGTATTCTTCTAGTTCTTCTTTGATTGTATTGATGGTTGGCAGACCAAGGTAAGTGCATTACCTCCACTACTAGACTGGAAGGTGCTTGGTGGATATTGCCATATTCTGACACCAGAATTATTACAGCTTAAGAACTATGTGTCTGATGGGCCATTCGCATTTTTTTTGACAAAGCTAACTTTGTTACAAACGTCTCACGAGAAAAGGGAGAAAAATTGTCTTCCAGTATCTGATTTCTAATTTCATATGTGGATCCTTTGATTGCCTTTATAAGACCATCTGAAACCAAATTCTGCCCTGGTTTATTTCACCAATTCAACCAACCATTGTCTTATCAGTTTGTTCCATTTTATTGAGTCCGTACAGACAGGACAAACACCACATAGGTTCATAAAAAGGTGCAACGTGGCCAAAAATGTTAAAAGCTTCAGATGTTGCATTAGCAGTTCAGACCATCTTCACTTCTACCAAAAAGGATTTTGTGTATGACAGATAAAATACAGTGAGATAATGTTTGATTCTTCCTGAAACCCACACTTATTTATCTGGTTGATTTTTGTCAGACCATACTGAAAATCACTTCACCGGTTATTTGTACGCACTTCTAAAATTGCAGCAGACAGGCCTCAGAGGGAATCTGAGGAGAGCAAACTGAAGCTCCTGCTGATCCTCATTTCAGACGCTCAGTAGTCCCAGTGTAACAAGAGACTGTTTATCTGCCGGTTAAATATTGATTCCGGGGGTGGCCTTTTTTAAAATGTTCAAGCAGTGTGGGATAAATAATGTTTGAACCACATTAGAAATCACAGAATATAATCTTCTCAAAGCTGCTTGCTGCAGGTAAAAACAAACTAGAGCAGAGCCCTAATAGGTTTGTGACCCAATAGTTTCTAATGAGGTTAGAGCAGCGGATGTGAAGTCATTGAAGGCAAATGCAGAAGGACTTTAAGAAACCTGAACAGTTTCAGCATCTGATACAAACTTTGACTTATAACAACTCTGCATTGTGAGGTTCCTTTGGTTGGATGAACGCTGGGCAGCTGGTGGGACGTGGCACTTGTTCATCTTTTTATGGTAGCAAATATTTTAAATTAACTTGTGCACAAAAAGGTTTACGGTATTCAAGTTATAACGTTAATGCAATTTTAAATCATTATTTTACAGAAGATAAAATCCAACATGTTTGCATTTTACAACTAGAGTTCACAGTCAGGTAATAACTTCTGATTTTTGTCTTTTATTTTAGAATATGTGCAGTTGTGGTTTCTATTTGAAGCAATCTTATCCACAGCGTAATGTTTTGGCAYCATTATCAAAGACAGAAAATGATGTTAAGTAACAATGAAAACGTTTATTTTTGGTGTTGCTGTCCTGTGGAACGTCTTTAATGCTGCTGTTCTCCATCACTTCACCTTTGATGGAGTTCTGATTAAATGTTTTTATGATCAGTCTTGGTTCTGGTTGTGTCGGATCATGTTTTCTTTTGGTTTGTTTGCTGTCGTCAGGCCACCAGCTGGACCTGCTGGGTTTGGTAGTTGTCAAAGTCCTCAGGAAGAGTGTCTATAAAAACAGTGATAAAAAAGGACATATTTAGGTTTCATTTCCAAAATGGTTTCAGGCTTTTTGTGCTAATTTATCTAAATGTTGGATAGGAAAGTGGCCTGTCAGCAGCTTTATGAAGAGTCGGCTCACCGTTGCAGCGGTACCGCAGGTTGGCCCAGATGATGTTCTCCTGGGAGAAGCAGAAGACTCCCAGCCGGCCTCCTCTCATCGTGGCGTCAATGACGACGCCTGTGTCCGCCACCATCTGAGGACCCTCAAAGAAACGAACTCTGCACAGCAGCAAACAGGAATTAAACTTTAGTCGTTGTGAATTTATTGTATTCACTCACAGAATTTAGGAGGAATTTGTTGCGGCTGAAATTGCTGGTTCACAGGCTTGGTCTTTTWTATGTCAGAAAAATATGTTTCTGTTTTAACTTGAACTGCAGCAGGTCTYGGGAGAAAGGAGTCACTAAATGGGAGGTTCTTGGTGTGMGAGGAGTTTGTCAAAYATGTGATTGGTCTTTTTGACATTTGTGGGAGGAGTTAAAGACATGATTGGTYTTGAACTTTTGTGGGAGGAGTTTGTTAAAATACATGATTGATTGAATTTACTATTTAGGAGGGCTGTGAAGAAARCATTTGGTTGGATGAKGGCTGGGCAGCTGGTTGGACAGGTTAACTTGGTCAAAACGATCAGGAAGCACCTATAATTTTAYTTATAAATATTAATWTTAGTCATAACACAGGAAGGTGCCAGTTGCGTAAATTGCGTAAATTATYTTCACAATAATTTTACTATTAKTTCATCTTTTAACTTGCTCCACCAGACAAGCCATACAAACTCCGCCCACACAAAGAACACCACCAATCACCTTTAGAACAGACTCCGCCCACACTGCCAAGAAACTCCCCCTATGTACTGGTCTAATACTCGAGTCTGGTGGATAGGGCTTGGCGATAGGAATTTTAGTATCGATCTGATATCAAGTAAATACAGGACTAAAACTGCAGATTCCAATACTAATACTTGTCGTGTTCATTGAATAAATATGTGATTTTGCTTTTAGSTGGTTGATTATAATAAAACACGGGACAGAGATTTTAGGCAAATAAAAATCTTTAGTATTAACTACAGCAATATAAAAGAATGTAACAGTATAAAATAATCCAATAATTTCCCTATTATCTTTTACTACACACAGTTGTTTACGAAAAAAGTCCTTAGTGCAAAATAACAAAAAAGCAACAATGTAACATAATACAAATATAACTATGCCAATAACCTAACAAAAATACATTCAGTTTTATGTACGTTATGACGATGTAGAGGACTAATGACTAAGTCCAAGCAATTTGGAAACTCTGTRTTTATTTTTCACTTTATTTGTGAAAAKTAAAGTCAGTYGTGCAGATAAACAAAAGAATCAATCTCYTCACGCTAGTATTGATTCGATACTCATTTTGYTATCAATAGTATCAACACTGAGATCGATACAGTACCTGATGTAGCCGTCAGCAGGTCGGTGCTGCAGGAACCAGCGGTACGAGGTCTTGTCCTTCCAGCCAACGTTGCGAGGATCCTTCCACAGGAGTTTGACCTGCTCATTGGTGTCCCCGGTGTGCCACAGGGCGTTCCTCAGATTCTCACCTGGACCTGTGATTGACTTCACCGCCTGGTCAAAAACAACAACCAATGAAGTCTGATACTTTGTTCTTGTTTGTTTTTGAGGTCAGTTAGCACCAAAAAAAAAAAAATAAATAAACACTATAAAAATGATGCAGAAACTGAAATTGTTTTTGGAGTTCAGGTCTTGTTTAATAGTGTTGATTTGTTTTYGTGTACTTTTGGTCCAGCAGTAAACTACCTTTAACTGAATGCCTTGTTGTGCCACAGCTCTGAAAGGGTTGGCCTGCCAGTAGATCTGCTCCACCTGTTTCCACATCACCACGTAGAAACTGGAGCTGTCCTGGTAGCCAAATATGAAGCCGGCGTAGTCGTCATCCGTCACCGTGTTTACATGAAACGTCCCTTCGAAGTCCACGCCGCTAAACGCAGTGTAACCTACAGGTGAGACGAACAGAGCAGAAGAAAGGTAAGCTTTGGGTTTTGTGTCAGACTCRCTGAGCTTTATTGTCTTAGGTTGGTGGGAATATTTTTTTTGAAAATTAATGTAATTTGGCCGCAATACAGATTTCTTACCCACAGCCAAACCAGGGTCACTGTTCATAGTCTGGACTATTTCTCTGCCCTGCACAAACAGAACAAGAGATTTAAAGTGCCTCTGACATAAAAATTTTTGTAATAAATATTAATGTGTCTTTGGAAAGATAACATTGATAAAATATTGCAAAAGAAATTTCATGKTGCTGTGATGAACAGTTGCTGAGATATTTGCATGTGAAGTAACAGGAAGTGATGTCAAAGGGAAATGTCCGAATGTTAACAGAGCATTGCTACAACAGCTAACAACACAGACTGTAGAGAAAAATCTGATGTTTGAGTCTGAATCTGAGGTTGTTTTGAGTCACTATCAGAGAGAGATGAAGAGTCAGAGTTCAAATAATATTATTTCAATAAATAAAGACCAGGAAGTTCCTTTTATTAAAGAGTTCCCCTTTGATGTCACTTCCTGTTCCACTTTGGCTGTGACCAGTTCAAGATAAAATATGCTAGTTATGCAACAAAATTGGTAAAATCATGTGTATACCAAGTTTCTTAAATGTAAAGATGTTTTCTTTGACTTTTGTATTTGAAGGATATGCATGTCACAGGTACTTTAAATTAAAATGTGACAAAAGAGTGAAAAGCAAAAAAATGGTCTCAACCTGGTTCAGAACCACCCAATTGGGGTCTATCTGTGCATCTCCTTCAGGGTCTAAAACTACCGTCTGGTACTCCCTGAAGTCGGTGAGAGTAACCTCAGCGTTTTCTGGACAAGCATCGATGGGATCAACTATGGTATCGTTGTCAAAATCCTTTTGACACACGTCACCGATACCATCGCCTGTTAGGAGGAAGAGATAAAGCTTTCATAGAGTTTTTAAAACAAGCACGTCAGCATGAATACGTCACACGTGTTCTCCACCATCCAAGTCRTCCTGCAGGGGGTTGGGGATCAGGCGGCAGTTGTCCGGACCAGGAGGCAACAGGTCTGGGATGCCGTCGTTGTCGTCGTCATCGTCACACTCGTCTCCCTTTCCGTCCTTGTCGGTGTCCAGCTGGGAGCTGTTGATGACGGCTGGGCAGTTGTCCCGGGAGTCTTGGTGGCCGTCGCCGTCACTGGAGACGATTTTATAGATTTTAACAGAGCAACGTTATAGATGATATAAAGTCAGACCGTCTACCTGTCCTTGTTGGTGTCACAGGGGTCTCCAATCAGGTCATTGTCTGCGTCCATCTGAAAAATAAGACATGAGCTACATGATGAAAAGAGTGGGCAGAATTTCCCACAGAGACATTTTGACTGAATCAAAAAAAAATCCTGCTGTGAAACTAGAACCTGTTTTTCACCTGATCCGGGTTGGGAACGTAAGGACAGCTGTCACAGGCGTCCCCCACTTTGTCTTTGTCTCTATCTTTCTGGTCTACGTTGGGAACCTTCTTGCAGTTGTCCAGGTGATTAGGAATTCCTGACATCAGAAAAATACAATTTTAAGTAAAAGAAATATAACAAGTACAACCAAATGACTTCTGTATGTTAAAAGATTCTCACCGTCCCCATCTATATCGTCATCACACTCATCACCATATTTGTCCAAGTCTGTGTCTTTCTGGTCGTTGTTTTTGACTGCGGGGCAGTTATCGCAGGCGTCCCCGAAGTCGTCCTCATCGATGTTTCTCTGGTCCACATTGGGCACCAGTACACAGTTGTCCTGTAAACCGAGTGTTTTACTCTCTGTTAATGAAGTCTTGTGGAAAATGTGAAAACAAGTGTGTTTGTAGATGAACCTGCATGTTGGGGATCCCATCGCCATCTGCGTCGTCATCGCAGGCGTCCCCAATTCCATCGCCATCGGCATCCTCTTGACCAGAGTTGGGGACGGTGAGACAGTTGTCCTGAAAAAACAAACAAACAAACAAACAAACAAACAAAAAAACCACTTTGAAATCCCTGAGTTATTTAAAGAAATAAACAAATCAAAACTTCTATTTTTTTGTTGACAAGTTTACTTTTAAAGGAATAAATTTGGTCTGATTATTTTTTTCTGCGAAATAGTTATCACTATCTTGCCTGCAGTACACAACACTGAACGATTCATTTGGAAGAAGATATAGAAGATGAAGAAGGGAAGGTATTGGCTGTTTTGCAAAACAAATGTTTTCTGTTGTTTACATCTTTCAGCCATGTGCAAACAGATTATTTTGATTTTCCAAGCTAAAATTTTCAGTGAAAAAAGTTGTTCTTCACAAATAAATGGTTTATTTCTTTGTTTTTTTGCTTATTTCGGTGCCCACTTTGGCTTCATAAACTGCAAATTCACAACATCGATGGAGCCATTTAAAAATAGATTGTACTTTTTTTTGCATCTGGTTTGCTTTAGCTCAGTTTTACATTGAGGCTTTAATGTGAAAATTGATTTTCAAGAAGAAATTATGAACAGCACATTTAAAAATAAGTTTAAATTATTTCAGAGTTTTTGTTTTTGTTGTGCTTTCTTTAAAATTTATGTGTTGCTACAGTAGAGTTTTAGTGTTTTTTTCTTGGAATCACTGCTTTGCATCTGGACTCTCTTGTCTTATTTTTTTCAAATTAACAAAATTAAAAATGCTTTGTAGCAAAACATTAACTTAAGCTACTAAAATTGGTTGACATCAATTTTTAATTAGTTCTGACAAGCAGTTAGCTTGACTCTTTTTATTTCTCTAGATTTTTTCAAACTAGGATTGTCTTGACTGCTGTCTGCAGCAGGTAAGATACTGACTACTGAAATGTCAGAAATAAAAGCATTTCATTTATCTGTCAATATTTACGCAGARGCTCAGGAAAGTCACCTTATTGCAGTTTCTGTCAGGACAGTTCAGCTTCTCGTCGGGGAAACCGTCTATGTCCGTGTCAGAACCACAGAAGTAACCGTTACCAGCCCACCCCACTCCACACTGAGGGTCAAAACAAACGGTTTTTATTCATTGTGGTAATTTATATCATCACCGTCAGTGGTCAAACAAATTAAAAACTGGACCACCTGACACTCGATGCTGCCTTCTCGATGGACGATGCACTCAGCACTGGCGTGGCACGGATTGGGTTGGCCGTTCCCACAAGCTCTCTCGGGACGACAGCCACTTTTCTGATCCCCGATATAACCTGTTTTACAGGGACCGCACCTGAACGAGCCCTGATCACACAGACAAGCAGCAAAAAAAAAACCACATCAACCTCATTTTGTCTTTGACTTTCTGAGAGATCAACGTGTTGTACTCACAGGTGTGTTCATGCACACAGAGTTCTCCACACAGCCTCCTCTGTTGGGGCCTTCACATTCATTGATATCTTTGCACACCTTTCATAAAAAAACAGAAAGAAAAAAACAGATTTATGTAAAAACAAGTAAATTTGAAGTGGATGCTGTCATGTAGGCTACTGTAGATCAATACAAATCAACAAATAATTGAATAAACGGCATCAATAATACTAATAGTAACATGTTAAAAAGAGTTTAACTGAGCTGGTTAAAACAAATGTCTGACCTGTTTGTTGGCAGATGCGTAGGCCAGCCCGATACCTTGAACCTGAGGTCCGGTGTAACCTGCAGGACAGGAGCCGCAGCGGAAACCAGGGGAAGTGTTGATGCACCGGACCCCCATGTGACAGGGTATCACTGTGCACTGGAAACAACAAGGACACGTGTCAGGATGCTGCCACAGGAGCAACGTCAGTGTTAAAGGTGTCAGATGATGCAGTTAGATGCAGAGTTGTAAAGTAACTAAGTACAAATACTTTGTTACTGTACTTAAGTAGAAATTTTGGTTATCTGTACTTTACTTGAGTAAATTTTTCCCAGCCAACTTTTTGCTTCTACTTCTTACATTTTCACACAATTYTCTGTACTTTCTACTCCCTACAATTAAAAAAAGGTAAGAAGTAGAAAGTCATTACTCCTATTTCATTCTGGCTCATTGTTGTTAAAAATAATTCTATCTCCATAAACTGTGCCTTTGAATTTAGTTGTGGTTGAATGAGAAGTATAAATATATACCATTATGACACATTAGTTTGTACGCAATCCATCACAGCTGCACGCCTTTAAAATATGTATTTGGAAATTCTASCCTCTCATTTTTACTCAATGCTTTTACTTTTAATACTTAAGTACATTTTTTGTCAGAAATTAACTTTTGATACTTAAGTACAAAATAAATCAGGTACTTTAAGACTTTTACTCAAGTAGAGGAGACTTTAACTTTTACCAAAGTAATTTTGTGATAAGGTACTTGTACTTTTACTTAAGTATCACTTTGTGGTACTTTATACAACACTGGTTAGATGAGATGAGAGCACTGTGTCGTGTTTCTGCACCTCATCCACATCTGTACAGTGGCTCCCGTTGCCCCGCATGCCATCAGGGCAGGGTCCGCACTCCGGACCCTCGGGTTTGTCCACACACGTCACCCCGGGGTGGCAGGGGTTGGGATCGCAGGAGGAAACGGGTTGAATTCCTCCCATTCCTGAACAGAGCAGAGATGAGCTGTTTTCAGTTCTGATGTTTTAAATTTAACATCTTGTTCACTTTCCTTTCCTTTTAAGTCAGTTTTATCAATGAAGGGTGCTGGCTAACTCACCACAGGCTTCACACTCCATCACTGTGTTCTTCAGGAACACGATCTCTCTAACCTGTAAGGCACAACAAGTTAAGAGTCAGACTAACAAGAACTCATGATTCAAAACAGTACCAGTTTTTTAAAGTCATAAAAATGCATCATTTTTTAGGAAAGTGCAGAAAGTTTACCTGTTGCTTCAGCAGCTCCTTAATCTCAGCCAAGACCAGATTGGTCATTTTAATCTGACTGATAATCTCTCCATCTGGATTCAGAAAGAAAACACAACCTTTGCAGTAAATGTTTGCTCAGACACAATAAACTTACAACTATTGCTCATTTGRGAATCAGTGAGGGCAGGCATTTTGATCATGATTTGAGCTAATCACAATATTTATCCCTCTATGGTACCGTGTACTCCAGCCTATTTTAGCCTTTTAAAGTAAAGTGAGACACACATTTAATTGGTCATTATTCAAGGGAAATAAAAATACCAATAAAAAATATAAAACAGCAGACACATGATCCACAGGGTTTTATACCTTTATTTGATTTAATCTTTTGTTTAACCAGGAAGTCCCATTAAGTTTAACAATCTCTTTTTTCAGGAGAGACCAAGCTAGATGGGACGGCTGTGGTAGAGTGGTTAGGGGAGTTGTCCTAGAACCGGAAGGTCGCTGGTTCGATCCCCATCCAGTGGACTRAGTTGTTGTGTCCTTGGGCAAGACACCTTGCCTGCCTTGCCCACTGATGGTGGTCAGAGGGTCCGGTGGCGCCTGTGTATGGCAGCCTCACTTCTGTCAATATGCCCCAGGGCAGCTGTGGCTTCAATTGTAGTTTGCCATCATCAGTGTGTGAATGTGTGTGTGCGTGGGTGAATGTCTGTAGTAGGGTTGGGCATGATCGTATTGTGTGCAATTAATCGCCAGAAAAACATTAATCGARTATTTTTTGGCACTTGACGATTAACATGGTTCATGCCACCAGGCAGAGTCCACTCTGTGCTCCCCTCCGCTTCAAATATGACGAACATTTAAAAAAGTTCTGTAATTTATTTATCTATCGGCACAATTTAAAATTTGATGTAAAGCCTGAAGTCTGTAATTTTGACAAAATTTGGAACAGATTTTTATGAAAAGCAAATCTTTCCCAGTAAATTGATCATGTGACCAGGACATAAGGGTGTCCAGGGACTCCAGGGGATTAATCGTCAAATTAATCGCTAAATACCACAATTAATCGTGATTAATTTTTTGCCAATGTTGCCCAACCCTAGTCTGTAGTGTGAAGCGCTTTGAGTGTCCTGGATGGATAGAAAGGTGCTATACAGTATAAGTACAATCCATTTACCATTTACCATAGGCAGCAGCAAATAGACCTTTTTCAGTACATGTGAACGCAACACATAGCACCACAGTTGAAATGTATTTTTCACTCATTTTCACCCAAATAATCACTTTCAAAATGTATGAATCACCTTCAGTGATGATACATTGTCAAATATGTTGCCCTAAGAGGACATTGTAATGGAATATCATGAGGCAATACACAATAAGTGGAATGCAAATTGGGTAAAAATTAGAACATATTTATTTCATTTATATA